TACCAAAATAAAACACATCCTTCTAATCCTCAGTTAAAAGCCTGTACCAAAGTTCCCTCATGTGATCAAAAGCCTAGGAAAAAGATCACATGATCTTTGGGAAAAACACTCTGGGAGTTCAAGAAATTAAAACCTACTACTACTTAGAACATTAATTTTTTAACAGCCAGGTTGCAGTGCGAGAAGATCAACAAAGTAACTAACAAGAAAGTCAGCATGTATCACGAGAAAACACGGTTGCCTATACATGTACATATATATTTAGACAGTCCGTACAAACAAGGAAGTTATAAACAAGGTTTTGTGCTTTACGAGCAAGATAAATTTGCTCTCAAATACAGGATGGAGATAATATACACACACACACACACACACACACACACACACACACACACATATATATTTTAAATTATACGATAGTTCCTCTTTAAAATAGCAAACAGATGGCATAAAGATACAGGAGAAAACATGGATTTCAATTAATTGTTTACTGCATGTTGTTGAACGCTTTTTCTTTAAGTTTAGTTACTTTACATACTAAAAAGGTATAAATGTGTAACACTACCACAACCACATGTACAGCGCTACTAGTTAACAAACCATTAACACACCCAACTGCAGCAAAATATCTAACCAAAAAGATATTAAGTCAAAATTAAACCAAACATGCAGTGCTGCATGTTTGGTTTAAAATGATAAAATATGTGTAGCAATCTTGCTACAACACACAATTAGGCTTATCTAATAAGGAAAAGAGACCAAATGTTCCCGTACATGATGACCTGCAAAGAGGTAATGTTCACTCGATGTTCCCACTTTAAAAAGCTCGCAGCTGATGCCATGTACGGTTACTAGTTATTGGACTCAGCTGTCACCCAATTCAAGTACCTTAACTATTAACACAAATGTACTTTGTGTATCACTCAGCTGTAGAGTCTCAAATTATCTCTGAATTTATGCGGACACTGTCCTTGCTTCTGGAGGTCCCTGTGTGTGTTGTAAAGTATCCACCGCTCCAAACCCTCGTCATGAACTACAATCTCACGTTTAGTTTACTAATTTGTATTGAGATTGTAGTCCATCACAGGAGCGGGCTTGGAGTGGTGGGTGCTTTAGAACACACATAGGGACCATGGGGAACATAAGTAGCCACCCTCCAGAAGGAAGGACAAGGTCAGCACTAATTCAAAAATGATTTGAGGATCTACAGCTGAGTTATACACAAAAGAAGATACATTTCTGTTAATAGTTATGGAACTGTTAATGTATTTTTAAGATTTAACTCCTGAGTTTAGGGTCACTTTAACGATTCAATAATCTCTAGTCACTGGAGTGCGAGTGACCATTTATCGATTTTGTACTATTGACGGAGGCCTCTGCGGTCGCATCGGCACCCACCCGATCTTTGGGTTTGTTTCCGGTCAGGAGTGCGGTGGGATATACCTTGGACCAAAGCTCAGTATAACGCGGGCAATAGTGAGAGCGCCGCAGCCTGGGACGGATCCCAACATTCCTGTCGGGATCCACCCAGCTGCGTGAGTGACAGCTGGCTCTACCTATTTAGAGGCAGAGCCAGCTGTGCCCGCCCCCTCCCCCTCTCGTTCCTCCACTCAGTGCTGGAGGATCGGAGAGGGGAGGGGGGAATCCCTGCGGGGAGCAGTGACTGGCAGTCACCACTCACGGCAGGGAGACGATCGAGAAGTGAGCAGATCGGTGCATGTTTCTGCTCACTGCCCGATCAATAGAGCCGACCTGTGGCAGCTTATTTGTCACAGGTCGGCTCTAACTATGAGCATGAGTGGAAATCATTGACCTCATAGTTCTGCTTTAAGTAAACTAAAACCCGAGTGGCAGCTATTAGTTACTACAGTTTGCATTACAGCTTTGTTTTCCCCCCCACTTTTTTTTACAAATATGCCATTTTAAAAAACATGATACATGGTAACATTGTAGCATGGTAGCATGACAGTTTCTGGTATGTGGTTGATTTAACCAACTACAAAGTAATCTGACATGACAAAACATTTTCACACATGTTTTTATGAACACGTTTGATAAAACAAAAATGTCAGATAACCCCCCTCTGGCTATTGGTATGTCAGAAAGTCTAATTTACACCGCTTCTGGGGAAAACAATCTACTGCAGGATAAACCATCTAAAAGGGGATATAGTTTTCACTGCATTAAGTGACAGCCTTGCACATTTCATTTGATTGAATTACATTTAATAACCTAAAAAGGACTACATATTCCTTTAAAAAAGGTTGATTTACCCAACTGCAGCAAATAATAAGTGTGGACTATGGAAAAGTAGACATTGTATTGCACAGTGATCTGTACTTTGGCTAAGGGTGGCTTCACACAAGCAGATGACCAGTCTGCAAGAATAGCTGATCAGTCACCTGCTTTTAAAATTGTATTGCACCTCTAGAACATGCTACCATGCTTATCTGTATTCTGCTAACATGCAAAGGTAATGCATTCATGCAAATGCTTAGTTTCCCCTTTTATCATTACAAAGACTGGCTAAAGGTTGTACAGATTTTTTGACAACTTGGTAAACATGTTGTGTAATAATAAGAGATACTAAAAGACAGAAAGCAGTCAGTAGTGCACCTCTCCATGGTCAAATTTATGTAAACATTCAAAGCAGTTACTCTTCTTGCAAAAGATTCAAGCATCATTTCCCTCAACTGGCCTTAAAAGAATTAACAGACCAATGATAAGCTCTTCTGGTCATTAGAAGGACACAGAAAATCCCAAAGTTTTTAAATGTCCAACCCTAATTATTAACATCTCTCATCGCTTGTAAACAATTGCTTAATTGTGCATGCATTCCTTTCAGTGCGTCTGTGAGAAAGGCTGCATCACTTTCCCATAGCATTATATTAGTGTACTATGCAGTACATATGGGCAAATTGTTACTTGCCCCTTAAGTCTAGGATATTTGCCAGAATATGGTCACTCTATCCTTTTTTTTTGTGCCAGTGACCAATTAATTTTGCTTCACAGCATTAAAACTTTTAATCAATTTTTTTTTTCATCTAAAATTAAGAAACTAAAATGAAACAATAAAAGTATTTTGCTAAAGAAATTACTTCAGCATAAAGAAAAAGGAGATCCACCACATAGCATTCAATTAAACATTCCAAAAATTGGGCACAATTTCCAAACAAAAAGTCGAGATATATATCTACTGTACAGAGTCTCAGACACTTTTAAAGTATGCCAATTGTGATCTTATTTAGAAGTAAATATAATCACATGTAGACAGTAATACAACAAATGGGGCACTATTTCCAAACAAAAGAGTCAATGAATGTAACACTACAGTACAGAGTCTCAGACTCTTTTAATGTATGCCAATTGTGATCCTATTTAGTTAAAAAATAATCACATGTAGACAAATAATACAACAAATGGGGAACTATTTCCTAGTTGATAAAATAACACCAAGTATTGTGTTTTCTGTGCTCAGTGTCAATTCATTTCTTAATGTAAGCTTATATTAGTACGCTTATGTTAAGGTAAAGTTAATATGTAGTACACAGCTATGCAACAAATGTTTGTAAAAGTATATAATTTAAAGAGAACCAGTCATCTCTTAAATACTCATTACTTTTTTGTTTTTTTCTTCTCATAAATTGAGTATTTACTTGTTGCATAAAATATATCCTTTCTTTTATAAAATCTCAGTTTTCCCTGCTGCATTTCTGCCAAATAAGCAAATTATAAGCTAATTACGGTGAATAAGATAGACTGGCATGTGAAGGCTCCTTTGTCTCCCCCTTCCTAACTTGTCTACAGTAATTTCCCATTATCTATAGGTACTTTATAGCTGGGCGTATGCACAATATAACAGTCTATCACTAGCAGTCAGCTACTCTTTCCCAACATTCTTTTGTCCACTAGTAGGAAGCTGTCAAAGTGTGCATGTATGGATTCAAAGAAGATATGAACGAAACTTCCCCCCAAACTGTTCTGCGCTCGCTCAACATAACACTGGAAGTATAGCAAGATTGATAAATTGCTGTTATATTATTACATCAGGCACTGTTATCCGACTACATCAGTGATGAGATGATGTTGACAACTGCCATTTTGCCTTTGCCAGTCAAAGCCATTTAAAGCTCTGCCAGAGAGCTAGCTGGTCTTACTGGCACGGGCACTACAGCAGCTGCATAGCTTATGACTGTCTGCCACGGGTGTAGACCAACTGACTTTAAAGTGTATTTCCACATTCGAAGCCAAATTGGCCAAATTCGAAGCCTATTTTAGATTTGTTACATGTTCTCATTCACATAGCATAAGCTAAAACTGCTTCTTGCAGTTTAAATAACTTTTACTTGGGTTAGGGTTTTACGGGTTAAAATTTCGGTGTGCTTCTATTTCTTTTAAATGTTAGGATGGGCTGTAATGGGTGAGGGGTCTCGTCCATTCAGGGGTGGCTTGTCCTTGTATTTTAATAAAGCTTATGAGATAAACAACAATCCCCAAATTTGAGTCTCAAGACTTTCCATTGGAACAGACCACTAGTAAAGGGCTGAGAAAAATCTGGAATCGGCCATCTTGACTGCTTTAACAAAACATCTAAGGGGTAAGAATTTTTTAAAAGTTATTTTTTTCAGTATGCTGTGTGAACACATAACATATAGAGGGGTTTTCCTAAATTTGACTGCAAAAGTGGAAATACAGTTTAACTTATCATTGCTCACAATACTGTACTTCAATTCAAGTACCTGTTACCTTTCAATGGAATGCCAAGTGTAGCAGTTACAGCGACGGGAGTAATGTGATATGATTTGGACAAGAACAACAGAACCAACAAAAAGACTGCAAACAAGGGGAACTTTATCGTTTGCATTTTGGTAGGCAAATGGGTACTTAGTTGGTTGCCTTTTATGCCGGATTAAAATGAATTGGAATGGTGACAGGTTCTCTTTAAAGCTAATTCTTTTTGTTTAGCATTCTGTTTTGGCTTTAATGAAACATTCTCTTACCATTTGTCTGGTTTGTCCGTGGTTAGGAATACCTAACAAACATGAAAGAGAATAGATCTGGTAAGACACTGTATTTGTATCATAGCAAAAATAAAACGTACATGAAAAGTCTACTGATTTCTTAAAAATCTGTCCACACATTGTCAAAACAAATGTTAAAAAAAGCTAAATCTTCAGTGAGCTCTGCACATCATCTTTTAAGTAATACTACAATATGTGCAAATGTGCAAAAACTGGCAAACAAAAGATTCATGTCAAAGGAGATTTGCAGGGGCGAAAAAAAACTCCTAAGTGAACCAAACGCCAATTTTGGTGGTTACACCTAACATGCTAACCATCAAACTGGGTTAAACATCACTAGCAGGGTGATAAATGACAGAGGACACAGGCTAGATCTATATTTGCAGCACCTGATCTTGTTACACTTAACCTACAAGCAGTGTGGACCCCACCATGGAACTACATAAAGGTGTCCACAACATGCAGGGTGCTTGTTTATCCTTGCAAATTTTCTTTATTATTACGTTTTTATTTTAACTGAATTTTTTTTTATTTTTACCAAGCTTATGTAGACTAATTTTGGTTCATGAATGTTAACTGTAGAAAGTTTTCAGCTGAACTCCTTGGTTATGTACAAACTCTAGATGTTTTACATAACCAAGTTTGGATAGAAAAATGTAAGAATTGTTTCCGTATAATATCTGGTCTGCTTATATGCTGTATTTATTTTAACCAGAAAATAAATACAGACAAATCTGGACAGAGGAATCATATCACGTAGGGACAGCAAAACGACTTCTAATGCATTGAATCTGCAGTCAAAAAATCTACATGTAACATAACTCAGTTATGCATTCACTAAATGATGATGAGACTGTGACTTAGATGTACTGCTCAATTGTAATGGACAGAGAAACAAATATTTTACCAGCTAAAATAACTGACGTGTATGGGTTTCATCTATGCATTTAACGGTTTGCCTGAATTTCAGTTTTAGGCATAAATGCTATTTCCTGTAGAAAAAAAGGATCTGAACCCTTAGACCCCGTTCACATTGAGCGATTTATCGCGCGGTAATTCCCGCGCTATCGCGGCAATTTACCGCGCGATATCGCTCTCCAATGCTTCTCAATGGGGCAAAGGGTCCTGCTGTCGCGGGTCGCTACAGCAGGACCCTTTTTGGAGCGGATTTAGCCGCCATTCAAGCTTGCTCAATGCAAGCATTTGCGCGATATCGCGCGACATGCAAATCGCGCGATTTGCGAACCGCTCAATGTGAACGGGGCCTTAGAGAGAACAGAACTCAGCAAGTACTTAGTTAAAGGAGAACTATGGGCTAAGTGTTATTCCCCATAGTTCTCCTAAGGGTCACGGGAGGACATAAACTCCCGTGACCCAAAGCTCAGTATACCACGAGCTACAGAGGTTTACTGAGACCGCTGCAGTCGGGACGGATCCCGACATTACTGTTGAGATCCACCCAGCTGCGTGATTGACAGCTGGCTCTGCCTATCTAGAGGTAGAGCCAGCTGTACCTGCCCCCTCCCCCGTCCGTTCCACCAGTCAGCGCTGGAGGATCGGACAGGGGAGGGGAAACCCTGCAGGGAGCTGTGAGTGACAGTCACGGCTCTCTGCATGGACATGATCGAGAAGTGAGCGAGCGACGGTATGCGTTCGCTCACTTCCCGATCTATTGAGACGACGTGTGACAATTTCATTGTTACACGTCGGCTCGAACTATGAGGTTGAGTGTAAAATCGCTCACCTCCTATTTTTCTTTAAAAGCTCAACCTAAAAAAAATATTAGGAAAGAAAAGTCTGCAGGAGCTAGAGCATCAGCCGGGTGTGAGGTGGCAGCTGACGCCAAGCAGGCAGAAGGGAAGCCAAGCTGTCAGCCAGGTGGGGGGGTTTATGGTTAGTCAGCCATGCTACTACTGCCTCATTGTGGGGGATGCCCCTGATCCACAGTCCAGTGATGGCAGGTGCAATGCTTTGCAGGTTTAAATGTAAAAAAATAAATAAAATGTACATTGTTTGCCTAATTAATGTGTGCACAATAAATATTTTTTGTAAAAGGTGATGTATTACCTTATACAGTATATATTGCTTAATGGCCACAAAGGATATAAATCCACTTTGTGTGCACCAAATGCTTTTCCAAACTCAGACATTACCTTGTTAAAACACCATGACATCATCACTGGGTTGCACATAGCCGGTGCAGATAGCAGAGCTGTGGGAGGGACTCAACACTACTACAGGCTGCCTGCAGAAAACTAGAGGAGGGTGGATGCAAGACCAGTCACCCTGCACAAGGAAGGAGAGCAGCGGTTACCGGTCTTATTACAGGAACCAACTGCACCAAGAGTTTCACGCTTGATTACTGTGCAGATTTCAAAGAAAAATACAAAGCCTGCCAAGAATAAAGTTAAGCTGGCCACACACTGCTCTATTTTTTTTGTTCAACCTGAGGGCTGAATGAAAAAAAAAATAGAGCAGATTCCTCCATCCACGCTACGAGCGCGTTGATCAAGAAATCCCCACGGTTTCCTTTGTATTCAGACAGTGGTCACCGGTCGCTGTCAGAATACCCAAACAGAGCCGCAGCTCATTGGCTGCCTGCTCTGTTCATTGGAAAATGTTCTGACTGGCTCCATCGATCAGCTGATCAAGGAATGCTGGCCAAAAGGGTGCCAACAGCAGCACCCACTGTGCAAATTTCAGCCAGGTCATCAAGAAATGTAAAAGCTTTGCAAAATGTATAGCCACCTTAAGAATACACGTGCATCTTGAAACTAGACAATATTTACTTATGCATGTTCTTAGTTACAATATCTAATAAAATAAATAATTACACTGGGCTACAGAAAACAGAATAATCATAGTTGTCAGAATGGAAAATAGAGAACAAAATTATTTGCTTAAGAGTGTTAGGAAACCAAGAAACCAGACAGAAACTTAAAGTGCAGGTTTAAAAAATAAAAGGAGTTTATTGAAAACAGCAATAAACAAATGGCAAAAACTATGGAGAAAGTCCAGGACATCGTCAGTGCCAAGCCAGGGGTCAGATGCCAAAGCGGGTAGTCAGCCAAACCAGGTCAGGGAACACAGAGCAGGATGAACGAAAACAATAGCCAGAATCAGGAACCAGGAGATCAGTCAGCCAGAGCCATGGTCATACACGAAGAACAGGAACTGCAGAGCACACAAAGGGCGGAGATTGAATGAACAAGCTAAAGGTTAAATAATGAACTAGTGTTTGCATCAATTTCCCATGGGTTCGCTAGTAGTTGGAAAATGATGTTTACGGGTTTGGTCATAAGAGGGCGACAAGAGAGGAACAACATTGCCAAACATACTGCAAAACGAGCCATACTGCAGGCGACTGGAGGAGGAAGGGTAAGAAACCCTGAGTGTACCCTCCCCTGATGACCCTTCCACCATGGGAGGACAAAAAGCTTATGGGAAAACGAGCATAGAAGGCATGAAGGAGGGCAGGGCATGAACATCAGGGGAAGGAACCCGAGAACACTCCTTCAAACCGTAGCCTTTCCAGTGGACCAGGTACTGGACTTGAAGCCTGACCTGATGAGAGTCGAAGATGTTACTTATTTCATACTCCTCATGTTAGCCAACAGGAATAGGTCGAGGACTAGGAGGGGTGGTGGTGTAACGATTACACACTAGTGGCTTAAGGAGCGACACATTGAAGACATACATGCTAGAAGGAAGGTCAAGTGCATAAGCAACCGGGTTAACCTTCTGGAGAATATGGAATGGCCCAATAAAATGGGGTGCCAATTTCGGAGTAGGTTGAGGTTAGGGGCCAACAACCACACCAACCTGGTAGGAAAGAGTGGGTAGACACCTATGATCTGCCTGGAGCTTTTGGTGCTGTATAGAGGCATAAAGGGAACTCAATCTGCACCCAAGAGGAATGGAGCGCCAAAAGATGATCCTCCAAAGCCGGAATGTCCTGAGGCGTAAAAGATTCGGGTAACACAGATGGCTGAAACCCATAATTAGCCATGAACAGGGACATTTGGGAGGACGAGTTGATAGCACGGTCCCTAGCAAACTCAGCCCAGGGTAGCAGAGCAGGCCAATTGTCATGATGGTCCGAGGCATAGCAATGGAGGAATTGCTCCAGGGCTTGGTTGGATCACTCAGCGGCGCCACTGGACTGCGGATGATAGGCGGAGGAGAGTCGAATTCCCAACTTAGAGCAAAAGGCCCCACAGAATCTAGAGACAAACTGGCTACCCCGATCCAAGACTCCTTTGGTATACTGTGTAAGCGGAAGACCTCCCTGGCAAACATTAAGGCAGGCTCCTGAGCCGTGGGAAACTTCTTAAACAGTGTGCAATGGCACATTTTGGAAAAACGGTCGACAACCATGAGGATAAGGATGCTCCCCATTTGGAATAGGTTGTAGTAGGCCAAAAGGAAGGTGTTGAGGGGATTTGCTTTCAGCACAAATGGAACATGCAGCCCCGTAAGCAGTGATATCAATGCAGAGAGATGGCCATCAGAATTGGCGAGAAAACAGTTTAATGCGCAAATTCTCAGGTACAAAACATGAATCACATGGTTTCTCAGAGAATATGATCTGATAGGGATAAGTGGGAAAGGGGCCTTCCTTGAACTCAGAATAATGGCGAGACAAGGGTGCAAGAGCCCATCTGGACGTTGAGAAAGGCGGGCACCTACTCCTGCCTCAGATGCATTGACCTCAAAGTTAAAATGTAAAGCTGGATTGGGATGAGACAGGATCAGAGCAGTAGCAAATGAGGACTTAAAGGCTTCAAATGCCTCAATGGTAGCAGGAGACCAGTTGTGTGGATCACTGCCCTTCTTAGTCGGGTCTGAGATAGATTTCGCTAGAGAAGAAAAATGTATGATACATTTTCGATAATAGTTGACAAAACCAAGGAAATGTTGAATTGAGCGGAGACCATTGTAAAACGGCCGACACCTTCTGTGGATCCATGGAGAACCCCTCTGAGGAGATAATGTAGCCCTACAGGGTAAC